CTCATTTTGAGAAGTCCACTAGGCAGAATTTTCCCTCTACTCAACAGATCTCCAGTGCATCCGGGAAAATGGGCAGGGGTATTTGGGGTGAAAAATGAACAATAAATAGTAGCTAATGGTTACTGAGCATGTTCTTTAAAAAAAACAAAAAAACCCAACATTTTATTGATTTTTTGAGAGGAAGGAAGAGGAAGAGAGAAACATCAATGAGAGAGAACCATTGATCAGCTGCTCCGGCACACCACCTACTGAGGATTGAGCCCACAACCCCCAGGAATTGGGAATCAAACCAGTGACCTCTTGGTGCATGGGACAACGCTAAACCAACTGAGCCACACCAACCAGGGCAAACTTTCTATATATCAAGCACCATGCCAAGAGCTTAATCTAGTATAATCTCAATTAATTTTCACAATAACCTTGAGGAATGCTCCTGTTTGAATTATATTTTCCTTATTAAATTCTTTTCAAATTATATGCTCATTCTAACTAAAGAAAGCAATGCAAAGATGTATAAAGAAAGAGTTAATGATTTTCTTCTCAAACCTGTCATTCTCAACAGAGAAAACTGATGTTAACATCTTTCTCCATGCTTATAATATAAATAGGATTATTTTGTCAATTTTTACAAAAATGACTTCATATTGTGTATATATGTGTGTGGGCACATTAATCTATAATTTACTTTTCTCACTTAGATATTCCATGAGCATTCCACTGAGTCAACAGATACAGCCCTAACTCATTGTTTTAATAACTGCATAACACTCACTTTTTATGGCTGAACCATAATTTAATCATCATTTTCCTAATGATGAGCATCCAGCTCAAGTTCAGTTTTTCCTACCACAATAATGCTGCAGGCAATATCCTTGAATCTATACCCTTGCAGACTGCTACTTTTCTTTCTATAGTTATGTATTCCTCAAAATGGAATTGTTTGGTCAGTTATATATATTTCAATTTGAATAGACATTACCAATTATTTTTCCAAAAGACAGTGGCAATTTATACTCTCACCAGCAATGGTGAGTCCATTTCTATGTATCTTCACCAGCATCACATATTACTGTTTTTAATTTTTGCCAATCTGATGGGTTTTGTGTGTTTTTTTAAATTCTTATTTATTAAATATGTCTTTATTGATTTCAGAGAGAGGAAGGGAGAGGGAGAGAGAGAGAGAAACATCAATGATGAGAGAGTCATTGATCAAGCCGGCAACCCGGGCATGTGCCCTGACCGGGAATCGAACCTTGATCTCCTGGATCCTACGTCGAAGCTCAACTGCTGAGCCACGCTCGGCCGGGCGATGGGTTTTTAAAAAATGGCAACTGACTGTTATTTTGATTTGCATTCCCAGAAGCTAAAAATATTTTCAGATGTTTAGTGGAAATTTGGAGTTCCTCTTCTGTGAACTGTTTGTTTATATTCTTTGCCCTTCCTCTTCTACTAAATTGTCTTCTTACTAATTTGTAAGGGCTTTTTAAGAAACAAGGATGCAAGTTGTTATTCATGTGGAAGAACATTCTTTTCCCACCATCTTTTGTCTTGAACTAATTCATATGCTTTTTTGTTTTTGTTTTGTCACAATAGCAATTACTATGCAATCAATTATATATTTTCCTTTGGCATCTGGATTTTCCAACTTAAGTGAACATGGAAATTTATTAACTATTCCTTTTTTTTTTAATCCTCACCTGAGGATATGTTTAGAGAGAGGAAGGGAGAGTGAGAGAGAGAGTATAACATCGATGTGAGAGAGAAATGCTGATTGATGGGTTGCCTCCTGTATGCGCCCCAATCAAGCATCAAGCCTGAAACCCAGGTATGTGCTCTGACTAGGAATCAAACCTTCCACCTTTTTGGTGCATGAACAACACTCCGACAAACTGAGCCACACCAGCCCAGGGCACATTGTTTATATTTCATATTTAAATAACTATTTCACCTTGAATTCATTTTTGTGATACAGAGGTATAGTTCTGTTTTATCCCAGATAGTTATTCCAGATAGATAAACAATTTTGCTAACACCTTTGTCATATATTATTTCCATTTACTTATGTATTTATTTCCAGCTTTATTAAGATACATTATTTTCATTTATAGTGGATTTGTTTCAGGACTCTAGACAGTTCCACTGATCCATGTGACTAACTTGTGGGTTGGTACTATCTTTAACAGATGAAGGGACAGGTTTACAGAGACTGGGTGACTTGCTCAAGATTCCATAGCTGGTAAGTGGGAGAGCTGGGATTTGAATCCAGGTCTGCCTGATTCTTAACTACTACAATACAGTGGTTCTCTTTGGGAAGAATATTTCTTGAAAATTCCAAATCCCATTTCACCTGCCCAGAGGGGTAGAAAGGCCTGAGTTAGTTAACAGTCCCAAAATATCACCATTCCACTCCCTACTCCTATACGTTTTGGCCCTCACTTACCGGAGCAGTGTATCCTTGCCCAGGCTCATGCAGAGCTGATTGCAGGAGACGACAAGATTGGTGATACGTTCAGGAGGGGTAAAGTCGATGCGCTGCTTTGTGAAGATGGGCACTTCCTTCTCTAGCTGGGCATTCACATACCCTACAGGTGAGGATCAAAGAAAAGGTTAGCTATAGAAAAGATGGAGGAAGAGCAAGGAGAAGCAACAGCAAGAAAACAGCGCTCCTTCCACTTTCCCAACATATTCCTACCCGGGGCCTTGGTTAACAAATAGTTTAATATCAATATGTCAAGTAGTTTGCTAATCACCCCTACATTAGGGGTCCTGGGCTCTACCCACACTTCTGACAGCAGTGAGGAGTTGATTCTTTGAACCCTTGGGATGCTGTTATGCCATGATGTACCTGCTTCCAATGGTAATGGGGGGAAAGGGTTGGGCATTTTCCCTTATCAGTCTTTGGCCCAGCAACCACAGCTCAACTAAAGTCATCTAATTCCACTCTCTTCCCTCCTCCTTGCCCATGCAGTAATGCTCTCAGTGAGTCTCCAGAAGAACGAGGGTAGAGGGAATCCTGGAAAACCATTCCAATCAGTCACAAACTGAAGTTGCTTTCTCTGTAGAGTTTACTCTCATTCCTTTACCATTGCTCAAAATACCCCAGCACTTCAGACCCCTCTGCCAATTCTGTACTACTTTCTACAAAAATTTCCCCTCAATGCCAGGCTCCACCCTAAAATACTTCATTTTCCCCTGTTCAGTGACAAAGTTACCTCTAGGACCATCCCTCCTTCTCCTACAGTCATTCCCCTTTCACTAGTTTCTTTGCTCATTCTCTTCCTCCCACCACCAGAAGGGCCCTCGAGAAAAACGGAGAATCCTGAAGCCTGTCTCAGTCCTCCGAAAAGCAGCCCTGCGGGCAAGTTACTTCCTCATCTGGGTCCCAGTTCCCTTTTAGAAGGACCCTGGCGGGAGGGCCTAGATCACGCGGCTGATCTTGCTGCTCTTTCAAACTTCGACCATCACCAAGAAAGTCTGACGAGAATCAGGGGCCTAGACCCACACTGCCGGTCCAGGAGGTGAACCAGAGCTCTTGGGCCACCCTCCCCCGCAGGTGCCAGGAGAGCTGAGAGGGGCAGCGGCAGGGCGCCCTCCCTTTCCTTACCCGAGTGGGGGATGCCCACGCTGGGGCAGCCGGGCTGCAGGACGGACGAGCGGGACAGGGAGTCCTCGTATTCATCCAGGATGGACGCCATGGTGCCTGGCTTCTGGACTCTACGTCCCAGGCCCAGGGATTACAACAGGGCTTCCCCCAGGGATCCCTGTCGCCCCGACTGGAACCTGCGACTCCTCAGCCTACAGATCCTGGCAATCCGCTGCCGATTCCTCCTCTTTAAAATCCTGAGGATCTTTTTGCTCTCGCCTTACAGAGCGAGATGACCGAGGAGCCCTCCCTCTTGAATCTGGCGCAGTCATGCACCCCACTCCCGCCCCCAGGCGATTCCCCGGCTCCCTTTAGCTAAGCCCAGGTGATCCCAACCTCGCCCCGGCAGCTCAGCTGACTCCCGCCCCCCGGACGCGCGCCTATAACGTAACTTCCGGGTTCTCAGAACCTCTCGTCTGCTGGAGCAGGAACTTCGCGGGGCCGGCCACTGGGGGGCGCAGCGAGGGAGCTCGGGGGCTCGGGAG